AAAAAAAAAGACCTTGGCTATTATTGGAAGTTTTACAGTAAGCATTATTGCAGCATCTATTTGTAATCTCAAAGCTAAAGATTTCTCCCTCTCTCCCTCCCCCTCTGTCTCTCTGTTTCTCTCCTCCTCTGTGTGGCTGACTGACAGGAGGGCAGGCAAAAGCTGAACCACACACTCCAGCTACAGTCAGCTACAGCATGAGGAGGGAGACAGAAAGAGGGGAGGGAGGGAGGGAGAGAGAGAGAGAGAGAGAGAGAGAGAGAGAGAGAGAGTGAGAGAGAGAGAGAGTTGAGGTATGCAGCACTAGATACAGCATCAGTGACAGGAGCATGTTTGGGCATCAGATAAAGCTATTTTAGGAATAAACTGTCAATGTATCTCAAAAGGCATGCCAACAGCGATGATCAGAGACCTACATTATGATTTAGACTGCCTGGGATGTAAGATAGGATTGGTTTTGTACTTTTTAAGATGGGAGTGTGAGCCGTCCATACGCCTTAGTTATTTTTTGCTGAGTAAAGCAACGAGAGAGTAGGGAGGGAAAGGCAGTGAAGGCCAGTCGAGCTCAGTGGAGACATACATGTGGTTTCAGTTGTCCAGGACGGATCAAAGAGATTCCCTATCGATTACTCCCGTAGCCTTGAATTCTGCTTAAAGAAAAGTGTGTACTCTGCTGAACTGCCTGCAACACCGAAAGAAAGAAGAGTTTGATCTGCAAATCTGCCTCATCAAGCTGGATTGGTCAGAGGTGTGGGTCGTCGGGTGGAGGGGTAGAAAGGGGAGAGGTTATTGGATTAGCTACAGCACAGTCAATAACATAAACAATAAGAGAGAAACCTGACTGCTCTCACCATTTAATCAACGCCGGTTCGGCTTTTGGAAGATGGCTCCGCTATCTTTTATAGTGCAAAAAAGATTTACTGTCTCATAACTTCTCTCACAGCGAGGGGTCTGTGCCTCTAACTTTGCACACCCGTAGCTCGCTGCAAATGTCAACATTCATTGGCAGAAAGTCTGAATTAAACCTTGAGACAGAAACATAATAACCGGTTGTTTTAAACAGATATTAGCTCAGTATTTATGTCATTGTCTGTGTTAAAGTTAACAAAGCCAACACATGTGGCTCATTCATATTTATGTAGCCCAGAAATATAAAGAACAGGTCTTTAAATCCTAAAGTCAGTCCAACAGGTGCTCGTAATCCAGAAACATAGCAAGCAAGCTAAACAAGGTAGCTATAGTGGCTTGCTTGCTGACACGTTTGCAATTACATAAAACTGACAAATGGAAACAGTAAGGATGTTTTAAGGCTGTATTGTGGGCTACTGTAATGTATTATCCCTCTTTATGTTTGGCACTGTGGTGTTGTCGTAGTGAATGCTCCCTCATATTTAAAGTTTTGATATACACGTCAGAGAGTAGAGTAGGAGTGTATGACAAAAAACTATACACAAGTATCTTAATATTTTGTTTTCTGATATTGTATTGATTCTCAGAAACACCGTTTTCTGTGTTTAAACCCCCGACTGCAAGATAGCAGAGTTATGAACATAAACTGAAGGCTATGATGTTGGATGTTATAGGAACTGTGATAAATACAAACACAGATCCCGCTGTTCTGGTTGCATAAAAAAGGAAACTTTTCTCTGCTCAGATTTTATGCATACTGTATGGTGGTGTGTTCTTTATGACAACTTTCCTAAAACATAATATTTGTTTTAAATCAATGAATCGTAGCTCCTGCATCGTGGTACATATTGTATACACAGCCATTCAGTAGAGCAGAGTATCGTCATGGCTGAACAGAAGTCTGACAGGTTTGTTAGGCTGTATTCCTCGTAACTAATTGCGCCACCCTGTACACAACATCTGCAGAGCTTGTAGAGCTCTCATCTTCTGTTTCTCCACATTCAAATCCCAGCATTTTATACAAAACATTTTTCTGGGCTATCAAAGTGGGTGAGAGGGGACAAGTGTACTTCTACTTAGTCTGCAAAAATACGGGACTATCCAAGGCGGTGATTGGTTTGTATTTGTCAAAGATACAGACAGGATGCAGAAGATTTCAAACTGGATCTTTGACAGATTTTATTTTGATATGATATGATCTACAGATCTGTATAGAGATCCCTATTTGTGTATATCATTGGATCTATCCAGATACAGGTACCATTCAGACATGTCCTCAGCTAGTCTCAGCTATGAATTTATGCTCAGTACAACCCAAACAACAAACAAATAACACTGAGTAAATGAAACAGATATTGGTAACTGCGGCCAAAAGCACCACTATAATATAAGTGTGTTGAGAGAAATTGATAGGGGTCTGTACAGAAGTGGGTGTTTCAACAGTCTGCCTGTGATTGGCTGGCTGTGTTTAGACTTTAGGTTTGGGATTGGTTAAGCTCAGGGTGTGTGTCTGCAGACACACCCCTTACCCCAACCCACTGCTAAGCTGCAGTTACTTCTGTCTCAAATGAAACTCCTCTACAGCATCCTCTATCGCACATCTCCAGGCTGATTGCTGGCCAGGACTCCTGATCTGCTGTAGCTCATTCCCCGGCTACCCTGACATCATTGCACCCA